CCCGTCTTTCTTGCATGCTGTACAGAGTTCTTTCGGAGGCCACTGCTGCTTTGGGAACTTGGGATCGCCAGTCTTGGACTCTGCTTCTGCGTCTCCAACTCTTTTGTTAACCTGTACGGAGGAAAAAGTTGAGTTCCATTTCTACTCTTGCATGCAAAGAGAGCCAACCTGGTTGTGTGCGCGCCAGAACCAAAGTACCAGATCGCGCCGCGAGTTGATAGAATCGGCAGCACTTGCGCATCAGAACCAACCATTGCATGTCAGAAGGGATGATTCTAGAATGACTATTAGAAAAAGTCTACCTCGTGCTCATCGTCAAGAAATGGTCGCGACAATCTTCACAGTTGAAAAAACTTGCTATAAAATCACGAATAGTTTGTATGGCTGTTTTGCTCTCCGAATCTTCTACACGGACAGACAATGCATGAAACAAAAGCCAGAGTCCACAGCTGCATGTAAATTGACGTCAGTACATATGAAAGCCACCGGGGATCAGACCTGTAGCCGCGAGTATAGTTTTTGCTCCCACGGCATGTTATCCACTCATCGGTGCTTGTTCTTTCGCCACAAATCTGTAAACGCATTAGCAAGTCGCCATTTGGCTTTGCATTTTCGCCAGCAAGCCAAATGTCTTCAAAATGGACTAGAATGTTTGCACTCCCCTCACGACACCTGAAAGAAAATGTAAATATTCTCATTTCCATCTGAAAGACAAGAAAAACACCTTTTTGACGGATGGTGGACGGCAAGAAGCTGCAAAAAATGTAAAAAAGATGCACGAGTTTTTGCATTCAGCATCTAAATGAAACGCAGTTAGAAGATCATTTTTTCAATTGAAAGCCTTTCCTACTTCGCTTTGTAAGATAAACTTGTATGAAAGCGCTGTCGACTCCTCAATATCGTAGAGGGACATCATCGGCTTTGCTACCAGATATCACCAAAGGAAAAGGAACCTTAGCATAGCAAACACCGAGAAAACCAAGAGCTACCTGGATCTGCTCGACTATACTCGCACGTGTAGTTTCCCGAGCTTCGTCATTCAGCGTATAAGATCTGGAAGGAAAAGCCAGAGTTAGCAAAACGATAACTTCGAATACAAACACAAAACTTTAGAAACACAAAACTTTGACATACTTTCCAATGCGCTCGTTGATCCAAGCTAGTAACGCCTCGGCTGTTCTTGGAGTTTTTGGTATCAGCTCTATTCCATTGCTAGCCTTCGAATCCTTTGGGTCGAAGCTCTCCCAGGCAAGCTTTCCGGGATGACCCCAGTACAGAGAAGGATAGTGATCCACTTGAAATCTCCTGCAAATGGGAGTGTTGGCCTGCAAGTGAACAAACAAGTCGATAAGTTTCTCTTCCTCTACTGGTAGTGAAGCTTACATCCTCTGCGCAGTCGACCTTGCCCATGAAAACCTCTCCGGGATGAACAGCAGTTCTTCCATTGAAGAGCTTCGCGACTTTGCTGTATTGAGGCTGCGATTGCAAGCTCGTGTCAAACCACAAAGACAAAGAAAATTTTTCAAAACTCCACCTTATAAATCCTACACACCGGGCACCTGGAGCAAAATCCTCGTGAGAAACTCGTGATTGCGAGCTCTAAGCTTACCAGTGAGCGTAGAACTCAACGAGCGCGAAAGTGGCCGGAGCCGCCCAGAGCGTTTGATTGAAGCTGTTCTTGGTGAGCTCCACCGCGGCATCCGCCTCCTCCTGCTCCTCCAGAGGCCGCGAGCTCGCAGATCGCGCTGCCAGGAGCAGCAGCATCGAGAGGATCGGTAGCAGCGGCAGCTGCCATGGCGCCATGGATCCTGCCCAGGGAAATTAGGGCTCCTGGTGACCTAACCGAGGGGGACATAGAGAGAAGTCATTGACAGTGACGACCGCTCTCCTTTGTTCTTCGTTCGCCATTTTTAACGAAACCACCCCACACGAATAAAATGACTAGAAAAAAAAATTATTCCTTTCTTCCACTTCTATGATCACAACGCAATCACATGATATTGGCGCGACTCAATCCAATGCCAGCACCCTTTGCTCGTCCATGCCACGAAATTTTTGCTAGATCTTCGTAAGGCTTCTCTTTCGCGAGAAGAACTTTGCTAGACCTTCGTAAAGCTTCTCTTTTCGGTGTTTGTAGATGGTGTCATGGGATTGAATCATGCCAATATCAAAGCACACATCGATTTCGACGATCCGTCCTCTAGATACGGGGAGAATTGGAACGAGAAAACGGGAATTTTACGATGCCCAGTTGCGATACTTACTGTTCGTGCTTGCTACATACGTTTCCTGCAAGCGAATCCAGTAGAATAGAATAGAGAATGGCACCAATAGAGAATCTCAAGGACATACATACACTCTATACAGTATAGAGCTCTAAAACGGTGTGTTCCTCCTCATTCCTTCCAGCAATTCAAGGCTCAAGCAAACCAAGCAAGCAAAGACTGTTCTTCCTTTCTACGCCACGAAGAACAGTGCCATACGCAAGCAAGCAATCGACACACTCACATTCCCCTGTATAAATACACCACTCTTCGTGGCGAGAGTGCGCACATTTAAGTTGCGGTTGGATCCAGTTTTTTTTTTCTTCTTTATTTTCTCTTCATTCCTCCTGATCGCGATTCACGACATGGCCAATTTTCCCCCCAATTCTTTACTGTTTGTGGGCTTTTGGATTTGCTTTCACGAATCTGCGCGATTGAATTCGCTGGAAGCAAGCGTACAAAGCAGCAGTCGTCGCGATCAATGGCGAGCCAGTGTGTGTGGCCCTCCCATCTTAAATTCTCCAAAACACAATCGCCAGGAAACGATCCAGATCAGATCCCTGCCCCTTTTTTTCAAATGGGCCGAATATTCCCGCCATCGACGTCAGCTGGGCTGCCACGTCGCCGCCGCGTCCGACGTGGCGCGATCCGGACGCTGCCTTCAAGGTACTGCATTTGCATGTGGCTTGTGGTTATGGCGAATAAATGCCCCTCCCGGGCAAAAGGCACAAAATAAAAATAGAAGATATATTGTCAATGAATAGAATATTCATTCATATAGTCTCGGGGCGCTCACACATGAAAGTCCGAGACCAAAAGATTTAGAAATGCCGTTTTGGATGGATGTTTTCGAATATCATGGATAAAATTCATATGAATTCTTGCCAAATTTGATCTCTTTGGACTTTTTGATAGAATAGAAGCGGTCAATGTCTAATTGAATGAAGGTGATGGTACGATCATATGGTATGAGAGATTGGCAAGATCAGCAATATAATGACCCCCTACCTGCTGCTGCCACCCTGCGATGCATCGAGATGCGCCAAGAAATTTACCACCACCCAGACAAAAGGAGCTGTAAAAAGAAGTGGTAAAAAAGGAGATATGGAACCCTCTACCTCGTTGCCATCGTGCTGGATCCAGAGGCTTGGCCCAGTTTTATCTCCTGGCGAGCGAGCTGGACGCCAGGATCGAATAAGAAACGAGGTGAAAATTGGATGGAGGAAAGGGTAGAAAAGATTTAAGGGTGTGCGTAGCGCTTTCGTTGAGTTTGTGCTCGCCAAATTTTCAAAGCTGGCTCGTACGATCGAAGAACATTACGTGCTAATCGCCAAAAGAATGGCAGAGGCCGTGAAAGCCTTGTCTGGCTATACGGTTTAAATGCCTCTAGGATGATCTGATCGGAGGCAGAGAGAAAAAAGGCGGAAAAAAGGACAAGTCAATACTGGTAAAAAAGGTCAAGTTTTGTCAAAGATTATGCTAGCCCTAATCTCTAAACGATATTTCTTATCACGGTTTTTAGGGTTCATCCATTTTTCTGTCCACGTGGTTGTCCATTTTACGGTTGTTCTTGGCCCAGGATCCGAAGGCGCTGGCTGGAACTGCACATTCTTTCCGCGATCTCGAGGTGATTTTGGGGAGCGCCGCGCGCCAGGTATGGATCAGCGCAGGGATGAAGCTGCGCGATGCCCGGAACTTGAGATTCAAGGTCACGCCCTGGCGCCGATGGAGAGGATTGAGAATGCCGGTGAAATTTCGCTCGATCGCCTCGTCTACAAGCTAGTGAGGGCAAGTTCTTTCTCTCCTCTTCTTCCCGTTGAGCATTTTAAATTTTCTTTTTGTCCTTAAAGAGAATTTAATCTCAGGTTGGAGATGATGGATCGGTGCTTCCTTCGGCCGAGGACGATGACTTGCAAGTGGAGTGTTTCGCCGAGAGGGAAAATCTTCACGAGATTGCTACTTTAGCCGTGGTGAAACACGGTGACGACGTTAGTTCCAGGAATGTGAAAGAAAAGGCTGGCGTTCACTCCACACGGGGCCAAGAAGTTCTTAGCAACGATGAAACGGTTCATCCCTCTACCGTGTCCGGCGAAGTTTACTTTTCTGTTGCCGCGAGGAACGTCGAAGGGAAGAGAAAGAGGAAACCAAACCGGCGATACATCGAAGATGAGACGGACAACCTCTACTTCACGTCAGAGCTTCACAGGCTGGTGTCCGATGGAACTGATTCGTGTGATGGAGCAAAGTCTCACCGGGATATAACTGAGAAGCTTGACAGTGGCAGCGATATCGAGTACCCGGAGTTTGAGTCTCCAACTCAAGCGGCAGTGTCTTACGGCGGTCGCCGCAGCAGCATGATGGTATGCTTTAGCTTTCTTGCGAGTTTTTGTTGATTCTCTAAGTTTTGTAGATTAAAACTCTCTGATCGCACAGAAACTAAAGGCTGAGCGCAAGGCCTCTAAAATTGCGCGACTCGCCTGGTCGTCCCGCAAGCGCGGTCCCAGCATCGGGTCCAGCAAAGAGAAGACAATGTCTTCTTCAGACAAGGTTCTTTCAGCCTTTGAGATTTTGCCTTGTGAAGAACATTGTGTTTCCGTTCAGGAAAGTTACTCCGATCTGGAAGGTGGTATGGATCAAATGCTTGAAGACTACGAAGATGTGCAAAGCATGGGTGGAGAAGATTGTGAGTTGGATTTTTCTGGGGAGCATGTGGAGACTGTTCCAACACCGAATGGAGGTACTAGGAGAAAACATCATCGTCCCTGGACGCTACGTGAAGTTATGATACTCGTCGAAGGGGTCGCTCGCTGTGGTGGAGGGAAGTGGGCGGACATCAAGAAGCTCGAGTTTTCATCTGTATCATACCGCACGGCTGTTGACTTGAAGGTAAAGTTTTTCTTTTCCTTGACTCTTGCTCATGGCGAAGTTCTCAGGATAAATGGAGGAACCTACTCAGAGCAAGTCGTGTCCACTTTACTTCAAAGCAGCAGCAGGTACCTTCAATGTATTTTTTCCCTTCGTGCACTTTTGGTCTGATCCAGTTTTTGGTTGTGATAAAAGGCGGAGCACAACAAAAAGAAACATTTTGCAGTTTCTATACCTCAACCAATTCTTGCTCGTGTACGTGAGTTAGCAGCTTTGCAGAACCAGCGTACCAGCATGCCTGTACTAACCAGGACAAGCAGAAGTGGGAGAACACTGAGGAGAAAGTAATGAACAGCATCTAATCCCACTCAGAGGCTGTTTGTACATGTATACACTCGAGTGCACAGGTGACACTGTCAAACTAAAACTTCTCTTTTGTTTTTCTCTAAAGCTGTGTCTTGTTTACTTATTCAAAGACAATCTCGGCCATGCGTTGGTTGGATGTCTGTCTGCTCGTCCCTCAAGGGCATGGGGAATGTCATGGTAAGCTCGTACTCAATTTCACACATCCTTTTCATTCTCAAGTCTCTACATTATTCAGGAAGTGCTTAGACCCTCCGTCTACAGACGGTGGACTTACAAGATTGGACGCACCGTTCGAGTGTCGCCTTTCCACGCCTTCCAGCATCCTCACGACGTGCGTCATCTCGGGTCGCTTGCCTGGTTTATCGACGCAGCACAAACAGGCTATCTTCATCACCTCGAGAATCTCTGCCGAAACTTCTGCAGCGTTCGTGGGGCTGGCGGTGGTGTTTTCGGCTAGCATGGCCGCGTCGATGGCCGACTGGAGCTCCTGGACTGTGACGCGCTCTCCAGCCAAATGACCGATGCCTCCAGCTCTCCGGAAACCTTTGTCCGTGGGACGCTTCCCCATGATGGTCTCGAGAACGACAACGCCGAAGCTGTAGACGTCTCCGCGCATGGTGGCCATGCACGAGCTGTTATACTCCGGTGGAATGTAGCCAACGGTCCCGGCAACGTCGGTGGAGACATGAGTATCGCCAGCGTCTCTCATCAACCTCGCAAGGCCAAAGTCCGCAACATGAGCCTGGAAGTCTTCGTCGAGAAGGATGTTGCTGGCCTTGATGTCTCTGTGGACGATGGGAGGGAAGCACTCGTGGTGGAGGAAAGTAATGCCTCGAGCTGCTCCGAGGATTATGTGGAAGCGCGTCTTCCAGTCCAGAGGCTTCACTCCGGCATCCCGACAGTGCAACCAGGTGTCGAGGTTCCCGTTCTTGAGGTACTTATACACCAGTATCCTGTCCTTTCCGTCGCAAGAGTATCCTTTGAGGCACACCAGGTTCTTATGCTTTATTTTTCCCAGCGTCTGCATCTCGGCAAGGAACTCTCGCTCCCCCTGCATCCCAAATCCTCCGTCTGTTATCAACTTCTTCACCGCTACGGCCGATCCATCCGCTAGAATCGCCTTGTACACTATTCCGAAGCCCCCGTCACCTATGATGTTTGCATGGCTGTAGTTGCTCGTTGCAGACATCAGCTCGTTCGGATGGATCCAAGCTACGCCTTCGCTCATGTTGGACACTTCCGAGGAGTTGAGGTAACGCTTTTTCTTGCTGTATTCATCCTCGTCTTCCTCCTGCGAGAGTAGCTTTTGACGTTTCCGTATCAGGATGATGAAGAGCACCCAGAAGCCGCAGAATCCGAGGCTTCCAGCAATTACGACGTACAGAGGAATCAGTTTCTGGACAGCAGAGATTGTTCCAATGTCCGAGCGAGCTTCGTCCTGCTCCAGACGGCATTCTGGGAGTGGAGCTCCGCAAAGGTCTGGATTGCCAGCGAACGAAGAGTTGCCAAACGTCTGAAACTGGGTGGAGCTCGGGATGGCACCTTTCAGATGGTTGTCCGAGAGATCCAAGTCGGACAGGAACGTCAGCTTGCACAACGCTTGTGGAATAGTGCCGGTGAGATTGTTCCTGGACAAGTCGAGCTTCAGCAGAGCAGGCACGTTTCCCAGAGACGGAGGAATACTTCCCTGGAGCCTGTTGTGGCTCAAGTTCAGTATTTGCAAGTTCCTCAACGCTCCCAGCTCAGCGGGAATGCCTCCAACGAGCTCGTTATGCGAGAAGTCCAGGGTGGTCGGCAAAGCATAGCCGATAAATCTCTGTCCCTCGTTGTTGTAGACGAGTGCCGATGGAGGTTTGTCCGAGTACCTGGGAGACAGGCTCGTTAGCGTGGAGTTACTCCAGGCCGTCGGAATACTCCCGCTGAATCTATTGAAGGACAGATCCACGGCCCGGAGCCTGGACAAGTTACCAATCCATCCCGGTATCCGCTGCTCCATCCGGTTTCCACTCAAGAAAAGAAACTGGATGGAAGAGAGGTCTGCTAGCTCGTCCGGTATACGTCCCGAGAGAGCGTTTAAGCCGAGGTCCAGGCCGACGAGATTAGTCAGCTTGCCGAGAGACGCAGGTATGTGTCCCGTCAACTTGTTGGAGGCGAGCGACAGCATGAGAAGATTGGAAAGTTGGCCAACCTCGGAAGATATCGGGCCCGAGAAGTTGTTCTGCTCCAGCCACAGCACCTCGAGTGTCTTGGACTGCGAAATACCCAGGGGGACTGGAGAGCCGGACAAGCTGTTGTTGGCCAGAACAAGCGCTCGGAGATGCTTGAGCGTGAAGAGCTCCGGGGGTATGTGACCTGTGAGAAGATTGCTGTTGATCCATATCTCTTCCAGGAGCTGGCAGTGCGCTATCGACGGTGGAATGCTCCCTACGAAGCTGTTCTGGTTGAGGATGATCTTCTTGAGGTTCTTCAGCTGGCCAAGCTCTGGTGGAAGCGGGCCCGTGAAGCGGTTCTCTGGAAGATACAAGACCTCCAAGGTGGACGGAGCGGAGTTATACGACACGCGAAGTGGCCCCGAGAAGAGATTGCTGCCGGCACTGAGAACTCTGAGGCTCTTCGGAAGAGAGACGCCAACGTCGGGCATGTACGAGAGCAGGTTGTTCGACACTTTCAGGTGCTCGAGCTTGGCCAAGTTGGAGAAGCTGTCCGGGATTCCACCTTGGAACTCGTTGGCACAGAGATCGAGCATGGTTAAGTTGGCGAAGTGTCCAAGCTCCGACGGTATCGTTCCAGAGAGGTTGTTTCCGGCCAGGTTGAGATGCTCCAGCAACGTGAGGCCGACGAGGCCACTCAGGTCACCCGTCAAGGCATTGGATGCCATATCGAGCACTCGGATCCTCCTCTCGCCAGAAGCTTTCTCTCGGACAGGCCCGGTGAACTGGTTCGAGGAGAGATTAAGTACCTCGAGCGAGGTGGTGGCGAACACAAACTCCGGGAGGTTTCCAGAGAAGCTGTTACTGCTGAGATCGAGAGTTCGTAGCTGCTGGAACAAGCCCATTTCCACCACCTTGATCGAGTCCAAGGCATTGGAAGAAACATCGAGCTTCGCCAATGCGGCCATCCTGGACAAGTTGGAAGCCGGCAACGCACCCGAGAAGTTGTTGTGCGAGAGATCGAGGAGCTCCATCCGGCGGAGGAGCTCAAAGTCGGAGCTCACGGGCCCCGAGAAGTTGTTCCAGGAGAGATCGAGAGCTACCAGCGACCGCAGCTCGAAGAGACCCCGCGGGAGCTCGCCGGACAAGCCATTGTGGTCGAGGCGTAGGAGCTGGAGCGCCTGGAAGCGACGGACTTCCTCACGCACAGGCCCCGCAAGCCGGTTGAAGCTGAGATCCAGGGACACGAGCGCAGCGCCGCCACAGGAGCTCGAGAAATCCAAGCGACCACCTAGCGAGTTGTGCGAGAGATTCATCACCTGGAGCGCCGGCAAGAAGTCCCAGACCGGATAGAGCTCTCCCGTGAGCTCCAGCGACGAGAGCTCGAGCTTGACTACCTGGCCCCGGCTTCCCAGCGTCACTCCTCGCCAGGACGAACTTACGGTGGCACCGCTGCTCCAGCTCTCGAGCACTCCACCGCCGCCGCCGCCGCCGCCTAGCCTGGCTCGAAACTCCAGCAATGCCGATCGCTCGGACGCACAGGAGAGATCAGTGGCAGCAGTGGAATCCAGAGCAAGCACGGAGATGGCCACCAAGAAGACATGGTGGAGCATTCTCTCCTCGTTCTTGGGCGATGGTGGAGTGATCACTGGCGATGGAAGGATTGGCCACTTACGCTAGAGCGATGGGTTCCAATGGACAACCATGGAGGAAGACGATGACCCACGAACGACCGAATCAACCACGAGTAACAAGAGATAGAGACATTGGCAGTGGGGAGGTGGGGATTTTGGATCCATCGGTATTAGTGGTGGTAATCCCGTGGTGGAGATTTTGATTTTTACTCCGACCAACAACACCCATCTCGATAGACCGAGGAGCCCCCGACAAGTTCACTCGCTTATACCGCAAGAACAGCGCGCGGAACCGCGCGATTGGGGCCTTGACCCACGACCCACGCGCGGTTACGTGCGCAGTCCGCAATTGGTGGGGTGGACCTAAATGTCCCACTTGTGACTTTAGAAAATATGGGGTCAAAGACAAAAGGTGGTAATTAGGGCAGTACCAAGAAAAAAGAATTACAAAAGAATCCTTTTTTTAATGAAAAAGGCCCTTAGGGTTATTATGATTCTTTACTGAAAAAGGTAGCCATTAGGGTTTATTGAGAACCATTGTTTATCTTTCAGTAAGGCCCACAAAACACACCATCCGCTCGCTGCTCGTTCCATCTCTCGATCTGGCAATTGGTGGAAAGAAATGAGTATAGATCTTGGATGAAAAATTTAGCCAAGAACAAGAAAGATCTATAGATTTTCTATTTTTCTTGCTTACCCATTCCGAGGGACACAGCGATCGATAGTATCGCGCGTACTTCTGGCATTCCGGAGCACCCTCGCCCCTTTCCTTCTGGCACCTGAGAGAAAGATCGCAAGGAAGAATCAAGCCCAAGTTCAAAAAAAACTTTGAGAACTTTGGAGAAATCAAGCAAGAACTTTGAGAATTTTGGAGAAAGAGATCGCAAGAAAAAAAAAAAAAGGAAGAATCAAGCCAGAGTTGAGAACTTTGTAGAAAAAAAGACAAGAACTTTTGTCGAATTTTGGAGACGACTTACTTGTGGAACTCGATGTAGCGAGTGTAGCAGTGCTTGGTCTGGTTGGTCGAAGGGAAGCGAATATCGAATGGAGCGGTTTTTATGTCCGCGACCTGTGATAGAACGTTACTACCACATCGAAGCAAAGAGAAAAAGAGAAAAAGCCACACCCTACCGTGATCGTCCTCCTCGCTTCTTTCGCTTCTTCCTCCTCAATCGCCTGCTTCGATTCGTCATCTACTTCAACCACAGTATCGTCCTCAGCCTACACAGAACACACGGATTGGATCATCAAACGATCGAAAGAATGTAGGAGGAAAGAAGGGAGTCTTGCTTAAACCCTAGCGCCAGAGTGAAATGCCCGCCGGGGAATTGCTCTACCATACCTGATTCGCCGGCTGCTTCTCGCCCACCTCAGCGAATGCGATCTTTCCCTGCGCTAAGCCCATCCTGCCCTAGAACTTCCCCCAATTTCCTGGATTCACATAAAAGAAAAAGAGAGAATATTCTATCTATAGTATATTCTTTATTATTTAGACCCAGTGCTAATTAATTAATGATGAAGCATTCCACTTAGTTCTAACTAATTATTGATGGCGTAGTGATAGATCTGGAGGTTCTCCACGCCCAAGCGCTTGAAGTTGCTGTCTTTCCTGTTCTTGTCAAACTCTCCCCAGTTGAATTTGGCGTACTTGGGCGGGTTCTTGATCGGATCCGTGAGGCTTTCGATCGGGGCGATGTCGGATTTGTAGCTCGGGAACATGAAGTATGGCGATGAGAACCGGTCGCGGTTCTCGTTCACCACCACTCGGTGCTCCACGCTGTGATAGAGATCATTGCTCCACACCTGGAAGAAAACCCTTGTTAGATCACGATCAAGGACAATGTCTATAAAGTGCAAGCTATGGAAATGTCTAAGAGACTCTCTAGCATTTCCTTGTTTCTAATGCTCTATAGTGCTCTAGCTCCAGACCTCTTTGTAGTTCTAGAGCTATATAGCTTCGAGAGTCCTAGAGAAAGAACTCTCGAAGAGAACTTTATAGAGTTTTCCTAGTTCTTTCTTCTAGCGAAAGGAAAGATCATAGATCTCTACGAAGAACATGATCTAGGAGAGGATGATAGCTTACTTGCATGAGGTCCCCAACGTTGATCACGAACGCGTCCTTGCGAGGAGTGACTCGAATCCACTCGCCATCCTTTCGTCTCACCTCGAGGCCGCCAACTTCGTCCTGGACGAGCACCGTGAGCGCGCCCTGGTCCTTGTGGCGGCTCACGCCGAGAACAAGATCCGGGACTGGGCACTTCGCGTAGAAGTTGAGTCGCATGATCGAGGTGTTGTCCCTGCCGAAGAACTCGAAAAAGTACCTGGGATCCACGCCGAGGCTGAGCGCTAAAAGCTCCAGGACTTTAAACGAGAGCTCGTCCACCGCTTTGATCCATTTCTCGCAAGAATCTCTTCACAAAGAAACGAAGATCACGCCCAGATCATGAAGAAACCAAAAATCTGGAAGAAGAGCGCCAGCCTTACCGGAATTTTTCGCGACCCTCCGGCCACTGGTTCTCGAAGAAGAGATTAAACTCGGATGGGAAATCGTCCTTCCTCTTCACCACGTAATCGAAAACCTCCTTCCAGTCGCGCGTGTTCTTGGTGAGCTCCGACTCGTAGTAGCCGACAGGATTCACGCTGCTGCGACGGATCTTCCTCTTCTCCTCCAGCGGCAGCGCGAAGAAATCCCGAGCCTCCTTCTCCACATCGCTCAGCAGCTCCAGTGACACCCCGTGATTGATTACCTGGAAAAACCCCCATTCCTGGCTCGCGCTCCGGATTTCCTCCACGATCTTGTCCTTGCCGGCCTGCGATGATCCACCGAGCGCGGCCAAATCGATGATTGGAATGTTGCTGCCGCCGCGCTCCTCGATCGGAGATTCTAGCTGCGATTGCCCACTGGGGCGATGCTCCGGCGAGACAACGAACGAGGGATCGATGCCCAATTCCTGGAGCGAGCGCGCAAGATCCTCGGCGACCGTCGGCGCCGTCTCTTCCTTGAGATTCTCTATTCCCATTCTTCCTGCTAGAACAATCCAATGAACCTGGTCACAAATGTATTACAGATTTTTCCCACCAGTCAGTCAAATCAAATAGCCCTAGAAAATATTTTAGGGCTCTTCGCGAGCAGCGTCGTCGTGGCGATCGATCTGGATAAATTTGTACCAGATCGCGCAGGCCAGGTAGAACGCCAGGTTGAGAATGCTGATGGCGCTGAGCAGCCAGAAGTAGTAATCGAGATGGCCGCGGTTGAGGTTGTTTGGGATCCATCCCAGCCGGGCGCCCTTGCTCGTGAGCTCCATCACGCAGGTCACCAGCAGGCTACTCACGTAATTCCCCAGCGCGAACGACGTCGGCGACAGCGCCACGCTCAGGCTCCGGATCGCGTCGGGGGATTCCTCGTAGAAGAAATCGAGCTGGCCGATGTAAGTGAAGACCTCGGAGGCTCCAACCAGGAAGTATTGCGGGATTTGCCAGAAGACGCTCATTGGGACCGGCTTGGCTGCATCGATCAAGCCGTGAGCTCTTGCGGATTTGAGGCGGAAGATCTCCACCAGTGCCGCGAAGATCATTGCCACCGTGACGACGATCAGTCCAACTCCCATCCGCTGGAGGCTCGTAAGTCCTCTTTTATTTCCTGTGATCTTTCGTCCTAGTGGAACCACCACGTACTCGTATGTAGGGGCCGAGAGGAGAACGCTGATCATGGTGAAAGTGGAAAGGGACGCTGGCGGGATTTTAAAGCCCGCGACGTGGGTGTTCATGGTGGCGCCTTGCTCCACGAACAAGGTACTCATTTGCGTGTAGAGGGTGGAGAAGAGGATGCTACTGGCCCAGATAGGGAGAATTCTTAGGATGCATTTTACCTCCTCGACTTGTGTGATCGTGCAGAGTCGCCATGGATTTTTCTCGCTGGTTCCAGCCACTGTATCACTGTCGATCTCCGTTGCTGCTTTGTCAAGGTATCTGTCAAAACCGGGGCTTTAATGTTTTTGATCTAGACAAACCGAGTTCTTTACCTGAACTCGTCACTGTGGAGAATCTTACGACTTCCTTGTATCGCAGAGCCTTTGAAGTCGACTTCGTAAAGAAGTGAGCTGTCCGAAGGAACTTTTACGTGGTGTTTATGCAGCGCGGCATTAAATACCTGTGCTACCCTGGTGAAGGGATTTCCTCCGGTTCGCTGCTGGCGGTATCTTGGAGCTCCGATAAAGAAGGCTACCACTGCTGCCACCGCTGCTGCGGTTGAGAGCCCGAATCCTACACCCCAGCCGATATTGTCTTCTACGTAAACGAAAAGCACTCCCGCCGTGATTGCACCAAACGTGATGGACATGTAGTACCAGCTGAAGAACCTGGTGGCCTCTGTCTGCTCTTTCGGATCTTCCTTGTCGAACTGATCAGCTCCCAAAGAGGTAAGGCAAGGTTGGTGTCCGCCATAGCCAAGTGCTATGATGTATAGTGCAACGTATAACAGTGTTGTTTTTTCAGGTGAAGTTTTGGGGCAGAAGGACTGATTTCTCGTGCACGCTGGGGGTTTAAACGCTTTCACGGTTGCTGTAAGTGTAAGCAACACCATTCCCTGCACAGAAAATGCTTCGCTTCTTCTGTTTCTTACGGAATTTACTTACCAGGAGGTAGATGACGAGGAAAACTGCTGCAGTCCAGAATCTTCCAAGGTATGCGTCCCCCAAAAATCCTCCAATTAAAGATGTCACGTAAGATGTTCCAATCCAGTTGCTCACGTTGTTTGCTGCGACCGCATTGCCTTCGTGCAGGACTCTGGTGAGGTAGAGGATGAGGTTCGTGCAGACTCCAAAGTAGCCAACGGCCGCAAATCCTTGTGTTCCTAGATCAGCAAAGTACAGCAATAAGCAACAAAGCCTGTAGCCAGCGCTCGATAGCGCTCGAATATCATCGCTATCTTATATTCTATAAGCACTCAGAAAGTTTAGGAGGATTCTGGCAACTCGTAAGCGATTCTCTACAGTGTTTTCCTGAGCATTGATTTTGATGATCCTTCCAGAGCTGAGGGGAAGGAAGAATACCAAGGATAAGCGAGGATGTAAACCATCCACCGGTTTTGCATTTCACAGCAGGCCTTCCGAACAGATCCAGAGTTCCATCGCCAGTAGCTTCCCGGTTCAGCTGCTTCCCCTTCTGGTTGTCCTCCTGGAAAGACATTCAGTTCATCGACTCGGATCCGCAGAAACGAAAATGGAACTCACCATGAAGAACACTTCCGGCTGGTGACTCGCGCTGGTCCGCTTTAAATCGACTCGGAGAGATGCTTAGTGCAAGGAAATTCTGAAGCTGGAACCAGACAAAGGAAGGACCACAAGGGTCATGCTCACTCTTACAAGGAGAGCGATCTAAAGTTTGCAAGTTTTTATGGAGGACAGCATTTTGAGATGGTGGGGAACAAGTAACTGTTAAAGGAATGGAGTGCCAGTACTACACTAAAGAGAAGGGAAAGATGGTGGTGGTGGAATCCCTTAAGAGGCTCCGTGGACTCTGTGAAACGTTGTGTTGATTCCGAGGCTACAAGAACAGGTTCGGTAAATTTTAATTCTTCCACTGTTTTGAGACATCGATTTGTTTCGCAGAATGTGGAGGAGAGCTGCTCTCCTCTTTTGCGTGGTGAGGTGGACAGAAGTTGCAAGAAAACATAAAATGTGTGGTGCTTGGAGCGTGGGAAAAAGAGCTGTAACGCTCACGAGGCCTTCAAGGTTGAAGTGACGGAGAATCTAAGTGACAAGCTGAAGTTTTCTTAATTACGTGATGCCTTATCTTTGCAAGGTGGAAGATCTCGCGTTCTTATCTCGTGTAGCATTTCTACATGGTCAACATTCCTGAAAGAATCATTTTAAGGTTTGCGTACTATCGCCTCAAGCTTCTTTCTTTTAAAAAATGACTTCATACAGTAAATTCTTAATCATCGGAGGTACGGGGTGGTGTTGCTCAAAACCGCTGATTGGAGTCGCTTTATAAGTCCAGTCCGCTTAAAACCATAAAGGACGGAGGTATGCTTCGTCGTGAACTTAGTTTTTTTATCAGACATCCGCTCGTACTCTTTCTCACTAGCCGAGAGCACTAGGAAGCAGCTGAGACTGACTTTGGGAAGCCAGCGTTACGTTCCACCACTGGATTGTGGGTTGCTGACTAAGTTTTTCTCGCTTGATATCTTACGAATGCTTCACCAAAGCAATGCCTCGGCCGCTGACTGGCTCCACACTCACTGCTTTGTCGATGCTGGACGGAGACCAGGCACCGCCATAGATGATCTCCTTCTGCGATATCTTTGGTCTTTGGACACCTACTTCCAACACTTTGAACTTGAGATTTCCAAGTCGGCATGGGGAGGCAGTCCGGCCTGAGCGCCGTGTAGCTTTTCCCATTCTAGATTCTCGGCTTGAGTGGTACGGAAGTTGGGCTTTCTACGTTGAAGCTCCAGGTCACGGGATGCGCTTTTATAGTTGTATGTTTTAGCAGTGAATCAAGCTGGCTGCTCTCCCATACTATTTACAACAATCTCGTGTACTTATTGGATCAAACTATTCCATTAAGAATTTAGTATTGCTGTGCAGAGTATGATCCTCTTGACACTGTCAGCGGCCTTGTTGAACCCTTCAAGAATCTCAATGCCAAGGTGCTTAGGACGGTTTTTTTATATGACTTATCAACCCTAGAAGAGAATCTCAAGGAGTTGACCGGATACTTGTTCTTCGGGTTGCAGCTCGCTTCCACCTTCAACCACAAGCCAGGAGGTACTGATTTCTCCAAGTTTTCGGCATTCAGGAAGGTCCCGCAGCCGACGATAAATCCAGCAGCTGGAAGATCCCTCATACAAAAAACTTTTCGTAAGTTATTTTGCTTCTTGGGATATTCCTATTAAACCATATAGGTTGCCCTTTTCCACTTCTACCTACTCTTTAATCACCAAGATTCAGCCATAGCTGTGGCTCACTCCTCCCCCCCCCATCCTAGAAGGAAGAGGCTTTAATTTGTTGCATTCCCTAGAGCTACCTAAATGAAATTTGATTATAAATGTAGAATACAACCCATTTATAAAGTATTAGGATTGTGACTATGACATATAAAAGCTTATACTCGTTATTCAAGGGTTTTCTTCTAAAATAGAGGGAACTATAAGTTAAAGTTCCTTTATTATTGTACAAATATAGTAAAAAGTGAGTGATATATTGATAGTTGGAATAAGATTCAAAGGTTTTTACCTTATGCCAATCTTTGGAAAATTTGTTTTTGCTCTAGGTCGAAATTTGGCTTGATTCAGATAGAAACATGCTGCCAGCTTCCTTTGTACATTCCATTGGTGCAAATGGAGGTGATACTTCTAAATGATAGATCCATATTTTATTAGTGGATTTTCTGTTTTACCTATTGTAGCATATGTAATATAAGAGCCTCTAAGTTTCTAAAGTTGAGAAAATAATTTCCCAAAAATTTCAGGACTAATGAAATTCTAGTAAATTTTTAAAATTTTAACAACAATTTAAAACTAAGTTTATTTTCTTAAACATGAGGGATAAGTTGATTCTTGTTTGAATAAATTGGAATATAATAATTCTCGATTTCCATTCTCAATATAGAGGCGCATAGAATTATCCAATAATGTTATCCTACAGCTAGGATAGTCAAATTGTAAGCATTCCTCCCAGCAATCATCAAAAGCTTGAGTAATATCATCCATTGTATGCTCATGTATTTGACGAATAAGAAGGATCATTACTAAATGGCCAAGTCTTGAGTAATAAATATCTGGAACTTGATTATCTGTATATATGCTAACAACATCAAAAGAGCATTGACAGAAAGTATCAGGATTAAGAAATACATGTCCAACTCTTTCACATTCTTTGATTGCCATACTTGAGTATGCAAGTGACAACCTGCATAAACTTAAAAGTAGACCAATTATGAAAATGTAAAACATCTTAAATTTACTATAAATTTCTGCATTATTGTTCAAATATATATTATTTTTAAGCTTGTTTCTAAGTCAATGGAGAAAAAAAAAAGTTTCTAAAGTTTGACATAAGGTGAAATCCTTTGAATCTTACTCCTATATCTTCTACCGTCCACTTTTTATCCCCTCTATTGTAGAATGATGAGTATAAGCTTGTATTGCCTAGGGCATGGTGAACAATCCAAGCCAATACTGATCCACAAGGTGCCAGTGGAATGGTACCATATACGTCAACCAGCTGCCCTAGGTATGCGAATGCTATTGCCAAGTTTATATTGCCTCAATGACCCCTTGCACTTTAGCAATTGCCAATTTCCTATTGTTCCAATAGCACTTAACTATAGAAGTGTAGAAACTATAGCATTGATCCATATGGCATTGTTAAAAAGTGGTAAAATATATAAAATCTAAACATAAGAATCCCATGTAGTGCAATAGATCAATGGAATCTCAAACCTAAGAGTATAAAAGGTGGAATTTTGAAGTGCAAGGGTAGACCAAGCCCCACCCCATGGACAATCACAAGAGATCTCTTATAGAAATTTTTAGCTGTGTGATCCCAATTGTTGGGAAGGTGTGAGAGTCACTCAGAGTGGAAAGAAATTGAATGCAATCGAGTTGGTGATAGTTAGGCATAATACTTTGGCTGATTCTGAGCATCATCTTTCTAAAGCTTGCCTAACATATCTACCTCAATATCTCCCTATATATTTTAGTTATGCTTAAAATGTTTGCAAAGCACACTACACACTACTATGACATCCCTGCAGTCCTAGAAGGTAGGCATCTTAATTCTCCTTGGTCAACTTCTATCTAGAATCTTTAGAAGTGGAATTTTCCTTCCACCATTTATTTTCATTCATTTTGTCTTCCTAGAGTTGTTATTCTTATCCAAGGTACCAACAATGGCTACTAATACTATTCCATGTTGCTATATTGCCTCCTTACACTCCAAGTATATCTTTAAATTAAATTTAGAAGAAAGTAAATTTAAATGTTCCAAAAATATCTTTATCACTCATATTTGCAATCATAATTAACATAGTAACATAGTGCATGTATTAACATAGTGCATGAGGTCCCTATGTTGCCTTATCCATCGTAGCTCTCCATGAATTTTAAGACCAAAATCATCTAGCAAATATTATTTATAGATATGAAATTGCATCTTACTCCAACTTCTAATTTACCCTTTTTCAATGCACACCTAGTGCCACTACGTTTTGGCATAATTGGTGAGAAAGAATTGTGTATACACAACTCTCATATAATCATCTATATTTACCACTACAAAATAGTTTTCCATATCATAAATTTTAAGTCTTTTAAAACCTAATAGTCCTACATACTTTTGAAGTTGGGTGGTTTCAAGGGCTTAAAATTTAAAACTTATACAATTGAGGTAATTACAAAACTTTATCATTTTGAGAATTTAAAGAGGAATTTGGTTGCTTAGGTTTAGTTGATTTAACTATTTTTTCTTTTTTTTTTCTCCTTCTTTAATTTGTGAAGCTTTTTTCACAAATTTTCCATCTCAATGTTTTGAGTCGTATGTTGCGGTGGTGTAGTCTTAGACCCAAGCTCTTCCTCTTCTAACTTAGTTTCAGCCTCTTCTATAACAAAAGTTTCTTCCTCTTAATTTGCTTATTTGAAGGTTTTAATATCATCAACATAGTTCTGTTTCACCATCTCACTATATTTGGTATTAGAGGAATTATCTCAGAAATTCATATATAAATTTTGTTAGAGTTTTTGACTTTAGTTGCATACATAGAGATTTTCTTAGTAGCTCTAAAATGATATTGTAAAATTACTTAAATTGCACCATTCAGTAAGAATTTTGTATACATATTTATAAATATTCATTTATTGATAGAGGCATGTATGCAACTCACACTTGAATTTAGAGCTAAAATCTAAGTTTATTATACTATAAAATGAGGGTCTAATATGCACTCAATATCCTTTACTAAACCCAAGATTAACATGTTGAACAATATCAAAGTCAAAGAAAATAATATTTTAGAAAACAATTTATCACTAAATAAGTTTTATATTAGAATATAAAAGTATTTCAATGAAGTTATCATTTGATAAACTAATAAGAGATAAAAACCACCAAGATTCATTATAAATTTGAAGATATAGGATAAACCATCTAACAAAATTCAATAACAAATGCATTATCAAGAAAACTCAATGATAAGATTTAACTACCGAACAGTAGTCATATGTGTTAGACTTTAAGAGATTGAATGGTCAATACTCACAATTTAAATATGGGTGGCACTACCTAATTGGAACTTTTACGTAATTCATTAGAACATTATTCTAGCCATATGGCTAGTGATTGAAAGTGAGGAAAGTACTCACAAAACTTATGTTAGGTTGTAGTGTTCAAAATATTGTCTTAAAATGCATGACAATAGAAATAAAACGAAGTGGTCCTCTTGCTTAAATATATAATTATATGGTGAAGAAGTCCCAAAGGTAACTTAGTAAATAGACCTTTAGACTTTGACCCAATGACAATGTTGATAAACACTTCTATAGGTGAAATTTTGACTTGGTGGGAATCAAAGAAAGGGTACGTTCCCTTGGATCTTAGGGTTTTAAGAATATTTACTAAGGTATAGTAGTATGCAAACTTACCCTCTTAAGAATAAGCAAAAGGAATATGTGGAGATAAAAGAAAATAATAAATGGATAGAATTGAACAACATGAATTGAAGGACTTAACCAAAAGTAGTTATTTAAGTTAGGAGTAGAGAATCAAGTATGAGCTCAGAAGTTCACTACTTTCAAACATGATACCATGAAAAGCCTAACATATAGAAATATCCATATTAAATTAGATGATGATCAAGATAAATAGAACTTCCCTATTATAAAGTAATACCTTCACCAAAGCCTATCACCAAAATAAATAGTTGTGGCTTAAATTTCAAAAACAAACCTCTAAGATATTGAAATATCTTTAAAGAAAATAAGTGTCACTCTTTTCTATTGAAAACTTCTACTATGAAAACAGTTCAATATCAATCTAGGAAGCCAAGTCATTCTTCTCACACAAAAGAAAAACAAAAATAGAGTATAAATGGGAAAGAAAAAACTCACAAGAATAGTGGCTACACTTAAATAAGAGTGAAGGCTAAAGAAAAATAGTTAAATCTTGTAAAATTAGACATCAAATCTAATGATTTAACATGGGCATGAAAGATCACAAAATGATCTATAACTTGATGTATAAAACTGCAAGAAAGATAAAAACTTTACACATATGCAACAACATAGTATAAGAGAAAATAATTCAAATTTGGTTAAAACTCTATGAAAATGAAAATGGCATAACTCAAATGAAATAGGAAAGTATGGCATATATTATATAACAAACAACAATGAAAATGAATTCCAAACACTTAATATTACCACAATATGGAAAAGAAAGAAATAGCAAAAATAATGGAAATGTGTAAATATGAGAAATAAGATTTTGCAAGAATGGATAAGATGGAAAGAATTCTCACCA